CTGCCTGACACATCCCACATGAATCATCATGTCTGTGCTTCTCTGCCTTGCTCACATCTCAGAACTGATGTCAGAAATACCATGTGACCTTCCTGGAATCACTGTCTAACTCAGGCCTGATGTACACGTCAACGGTTAACTCTGAGTCCCTTGGTATTCAGAAAGCTCTGACAGAGGCTGGGGTTTGGTGGACTCCCTCTTACACCTCTCCACATCTATGGATCACAGAAAGGCCCTGATGGGGGACTACATGGCCATCCTTATACCACTACCAATGATCCTTCCACACCCAACTTAGAGGACCACTTCCTTAAACACCTGCAAGGGTTTCCTGACACCTACAAGAGGCAAGAGCCTCCATGATTGGGAGGCTAGAGCACACACACACACACACACACACACACACACACACATTTTCAACTTTAATGATATTACTCGACGGACCTATCACCGTGGCCATACTATCCCATGTACAGTGTGGTCTGAGCACATCACTGTTTCCTCCATCTTTCTGATGACGTGAGAGACTTCTCCAGATGTGATAGACTCTTTATGCCCAAGCTTCTCCATCTGTCATATGCGAGCTTACTTACTCAGAGAGCTACAGTTATAAATGGGTTTATATGCACAGCACTGTGGAAATGATACCCAGGCAACCATGAACCAGAGGAGCTGGTAACTAAAATCAGTAGAGAATCTCCTATAAGTGATGGCAAATGGGACCACCTTCACAAAATCAGCCTCACCCACTCAGAGGGACAGCAGTACTTCCAGGTTCACAGATGTTATAAACAAGCACAGCATGGGCTTGCCTGTCTCTTTTTGAAGACTGGATTCCCCTCTACTACACCATCCTTTAGATGCCTCAAAGACTTCCCACAACACTTTAAACACAGTAGGCCCTCATGGAACATCTGTGGGATGGGAATTATTCTGGGAGGGAAACAGGCACCTGAGGTACACACAGCCTTTCTGGACTCCATTTGAGGACACCTGTGAGAGCCCAGGTACAGATTCTCGTCAGCTGAGAAAGTGCTTGGGAAAACAACTCCTTGAATCTGGCTGTGGACAAACTGAAGTTGATTCAGGTAGATATTCCTGGGTAGGGCACAGCAGGGAGGTTAGAGACGTATCAGTCCCCTTCAAATGTTCATCACAGGGCAGGCAGCAGACTTTAACTTGCTTTCCTAACTTTCTCAACAGCTGTCATCAAATAGGATCTGTGAGGCCCCAAGTTAAAGACCTTTGACTGAGCTACTTAGAGACAAAATTCTTGCACTCTAGGGATTTACAGCTGAGGAGAGACACGGTTACCCTCCAAAGCAGCAACCCATTAGGGAGAGAGAACTGGGCAACAGGCGTGGTGATCTGGGAAGAAAGTAGTTCTTTTAATAACTCCAGATTAAGAAACCATCAAAGAAGGGGAGTAATAGACAGACAGGGGGAGCAAGGGACTCAGGGACCACTGTGGCTCACTTCTCAGTGGGTACAGTGCCAAAGGTTGTCTATCATCACACATTCACTGGCATTGGTTCTGGTTGGCTGTGAGGTTGTTTCTGTCAGACTGACTAAAATATCTACTACCTCCATATTCAGATGCACAAACACACACTAAAACAAGGCTGTTCACGTAATGATCATATAGAGAATGAAGTGCCACTAAATCACCAGGGTAAGCCTGACACCAGAAAAAACGGGAGATGGGACCATTAGTGGAGAGTCCCCACACTCCCTGCCAGCACATGATTTGGAAGTAGGCCTCACACAGGGGAGTATTTTATTTGTAGAAGCCAGGGTGGTACATTACACACCATCTCAAGCCATTCTGGGATCTGAGTTTCTCTGGAGCTATTCATATCACCACCCATAGGCCACTAAAACCTGCCCATACTCAGAGTGATTGATTCTGCTCAAAAGTAAGGCATGGAACCATACCAGAAAAGCCCACTTCAAATAAGTCTTTAGCTTCTTTATGGATTTTGGGGGGAGGGTTCATAAGGAATAGGACCAGGGAGTCCCATCTTCCAAAGAGTAAAAAAAGGGTGTTTGAAGAGGTAGGAGGAAATAGGAAGGCAAGTAGGATCTGGAAAGAAGGGAACCAGTAGCCTCATCAACAGTGCTATACATTCGCCAACCAGGAGGCCCTTTGGTTGGATCCTTTCTTGCTAGACTGGATGTGAAGGAAAATGGAGGACCCAGAAGAGACTCTGGCCCTGCTTCTCCAGCATTTAGATAGAGAATGTCAGCCACCTGGGAGAAAAAAAGTCAAAGACAAAGAGAAGTATCTCAAACATCCTGACATGCACGGGATCCCGTGTCTCAGTGAAGGCGTGATGGAGACCATTGTGGACAGGTGAGATAATGCATCAGATGGCCATAACTTTGGCAGGATCAGCAGCCCATAGGCACCAACATGAGAAGCCTGAGTTCTGTAGCTTGGCAAGTTTGGGCTCACCACCTGACCCCCGTTTAGCTATTCTGATGTACTAAGAAGCAGACAGCTCTGGCTTGGGATGACTGTCTCCCTCAGCCCCTCTCAGGCAGGCAATGAAAGCAAGATCCACTTTGAAAATACTCCCCCATCATGCAAACTGACATGGGCATGCTTTTCAAAAACCCACAGCCAATCTGTTGATCATTACTTATTTACAAAGGCCTTCGGGCAGAAAGTCCTGTAAAAACCATACTTGATACGGTATACACTAGCTTTTTCTGCTTATGGAAAAAAGTCCCCCCAAGGCTACCTCAAACCATCACTTTCTATTGCACATAAAATGTAGCACGTAACACTAAAGTATTTAATATATATGGTATAATATATCTACAGGAAAGGCATTTGTGTAGAAGTATGTTACCCTGGATTTGGTAATTTGATGTTTTGCTGAAGGCTACGACTTAAAAAAGCCTCCACCTCTTACAGGAGACCTGTCATCTTGGTACCCAAGAGCCAACAGAATAAAGAAGTACCCTTAAGCAGCAAACTTTGACACAGCTTTGAAGCATATGAAAACAGTGTAACTCCTCAGAATTATTATTACTGGAGATCAAAGCAACCAGTCATACTTTACATAGCAAACAGGGACAGGGAATTTGGCTCCCAAGGTTTCACATTTTTCAGATTCCTCTTTATTTATTTATTTGCCTCTCTAAATTTAGGCAAAAGAAAGCACTCGGGCTTTTCTCTCCTTTAAATGGAGAAAACTATTAGCATTAGATAAGCCGATTACCTAAAGGTGAGTAAATAGGACTTGAATGCTAGGCTGACAACTGGTGTCATAAAACCCAGGGGCTTGGCAGTTGGTGCATTTTATTCCTTCTCGTAAACTGTAAACATGCATGTAAATCAGGAGTGCCCTAGCAAGGCTGCATAGGGGAGGCACCTGTGACAAGGGGGAGAGAAAGGGCCAGGTGGATCTGCCACTGGGAATCCATGTCCCCATCTGTGTCCCAGATAGGTGGATATAGGTGGGGCAGGAATGCAGTGGATAAGTAGGGATGGAAATAACCAACACTCCATTTCAGAAAAAAAAAAAGAAAGAAAGAAAAAGAAAAAGAAAAAAGGAGAGGGGTCTACTTCCATGAAAAAGGAGAGTAATGTCAGGGAGCAAGATATTTTTCCAGAAGAGGAAGGATTTAGAAAGACCAGTACATGTCTCAGTCTCTTTCCTCCCTCTCTATATAACACACACACACACACACACACACACACACACACACACACTGAGACTAGAGGACAACCTCTCAGGCACCTTCCATATTTTCTCTTGAGACAGGGTCTCTCACTGACTTAAAAGTAACCACGTGATCCAGGGTGGCTGACCAGCAAGCCCTAAGAATCTACCTGTCTCTTTCTCTCTGGTCTTCGGATTACCCATGACTTTCTGTTCCTTGTTCCTCCTCAGCATCCATGGATTATGAGTATCAAACTCAGGTCTTTATGTTGGTATGGGAAACATTTAACCCTTTGAACTATCTCCATGCCCTGAAGTCATTCCTTTTCATTAAAGTTTCGGAGAGTTAAGAGGTCTGAGAAAATAGATTGGTGGGATTGGGAGACACTCAAAGAATTAAAGGTGACACAAGAAGAATTTGCCCAAACAGGAACTTGTAGAGTTGTACTGAGATTGTGTTTTATTTGCTATTTATTAGCTGATGTCATAGTTTAGAAGTGGTCAGGGGAATGAGGAGAAATAGGCCAAGAAAGAGAGGAAGGAAGGAGGGAAAGAAGAAGGGACAGAAGGAAAGGGGAAGGAAGAGGAAGAAAAGGAAGAAGAGAGGGACAGAGGGAGGAGGGAAAAGGGAAGGAAGGGGAGGAAAATAAAGAAGAGAAGAAAGAAGGAAGGAAGGAAGGAAGGAAGGAAGGAAGGAAGGAAGGAAGGAAGGAAGGGCAATCGGCTCCATAATTAATACTGCTTTTAACCTTAGCAGAACTGGATTAGTTTTGAACTTTGCTTTGGCAAGCCCACGGATTATTAAACTTTTTTTTTTCTCAGTCAAAATCAATTAACAGAAATTTGATTTCCATCGACAGGATAAAAGGAAGGTAATCTTCAGGTTCATTTTTGATTGTGATGATACATCTCACATATGGCCTTAAGTACAGAAACCAGTCCTCAGAGGGACTCCAGCAGAAAGAGTCTTGCCGAAGGCAAACTAACCACAGAGTCCCTCTGATTGGTTCCCAGCGTCATTAGTGCCACTGCTGTTTAGTAACTACACACAGACAGGACATGGTGACAGCTAAGACTTTAAAGCCTATGTATTTTTCAAACAGCTTTTCAAACTGTTTTTCGTGACAGAATTTTTTCAGCTCTATCATTAACTGCTGACAAGCTGACAGAATAAATACTCCAGCCTTTAAGAAGCCATCTAACAATCTCTCTCCCCTCCCCCATGGAGCTGCCTAGGGAAGAAGGTCTAGGCCTGGGTTTAGGCAGGTGGAGAGGCCTGAGTACGAGCTGGGAAGGTGACCATGCTGGGGTTGAGGGGGGATGTCTTACCTCATCAGCTTCGGGGAGGAGTTGGGTGAGTTCCTCATACCCCCATTACGTTGTTTTTTTTTGGGTGACAGCGTTGGCGGCTGCTCATCTTCAACTGCAAATACAGGCAGCTTGTGAGATTATGAACAGTTTGAGGGCAGACTGGGGAACACAGGCAAGATATCAAAGGACACACATTCAAGGCTCAGTCACTCACTAGAATCAGGGCTGTCTTTAGAGGCCCAGTGACAAAGACAGGATGCGTTAGTGAGAGAGGCCAGCTGAGAGGAGAGTGAAGCAATATTGCTCTATGCATCAACCCTTGAGCATGCACTGTAAACAGACTAGAACCACCTAGAAATGCACTGGTGTAAGAAAGAATGAGAAACAGTGATTTATCTCCATATAAAAATACATATCATTATTCTTAAGAGTTAATTTTGGTTAAGAGTTAATACTATGCTTGGTTGAATAATCAAATGGATTTCCTTGTAACTAAAATCAGAAATAGAGTTGTATTTGAGGTAGCAGATTAACAGCCTGCCTCCTGCTTCTCCAAAGGAACCAACATAACTGGTTTCCCAATCCTTGCACCCACTACAAGAGCCTTGAAGAGAGGCAGGGATTCCAGGCCTTTGCTGCTCATGTTTCACTCACATGGTTCACAGGGCTGGTAACACTAGTGCATGAGGGCTCAAGAGTCCCCAGCCCAGCTCAGCTCTCTTCCTTGCAGCTGCCACCAGGGAGAGTATGCGGGGCTGGAGAAGAGCATTGGAATGAAGGAGGAGTTTGTCACTGGATGATACCTCTTAATGATGCAGTGGCAGATGGGGGATGGAGGGCAGCAGAGAGGGCCTGGAAACCATAAACTTGCTTTCCAAATGTCTAGACCACATAGATCACTAAGCAATGTAAAGCTTTATTCACAGACAACACAACACACTGTGCTGCTTTTGCCCCAAAGAGACCCACTAATAAGCATTGGAGATGGGTTAGCCTGCGCCATGCTGGTTTTTTCAAGAGCGCTGCTGGATAATTAGCAGATACTTGCCCATCCTGTCACCCAAGGGCATGTGCAACACAACTCTAGCCCTGCTCTCCCCACCCTCACACAGTCCAGGCTACAACTGTAATATCGAGAAGGAAAATATAGGAGCCTGGGATTCTCATAGCTGCATTGTCCTATGACTAGGAGGAAGTAGCCTTGAAACTCAGAATGTATGGAAGTTACCTTAAAGCCAAGAAGAGAAATATTAGTAGAGACAACATCAAGAGAAGCTTGGTATATGTTAATATGTATGAGCCGATCAGCTGCTTGCTATTGTTGAGAAGACCCATAATAGAACATGCACCCTACAGCACTTCCCTGAAGGCCCTAAATAAATATAGGCAGTTAGGACACACAGTACCAATGGGATTCAAACAGTCTAACCAACCTCCAAATTTGCTTCAGAATGCCACACTTCTTAAGCTGAGCCTCTGTCCTACTGTCAGTTTGGGGTTACCTCATTTGAACTGACCCAAGGCAAGAGGAAAATGGTGTGACAAGGTGAGAGTAACACCAGATAGAATCAAGGCCAGAAAGGACCTGCAAAGGCTCACAACCCATTCCCTCTCCCACCTGCTCCCCCCTCCACTCCCACCCTCATTTCCCACCCTAGGCTCCACTCAGGCTGAGACCCTATCAGTCACTTAGTGCTCCAGGCTGGGGCTATGTGGCTGGGAGGATATCACATCTTATCAGAAATGAGTATCCACAGCAAATCACACTGAGACTAAACAGCACTTAAAAGATTAAAGGAAATAAATACAAGCCACATAAATGGTATTGAAAAAAAATCACTTAGACTTGATATGCATCTCTCAGCCAGCAAACAGGCACTCTGAATTTGACCTGAATTCATCTTCCTTTCAGAGGACAGGGGGCAGGCATCCAAAGCAATCCAAGGCAGGCTAAAGTGTGAGTGTGTGTACGTGCTCACACACATGGCTAAGTATACTTTTACATTTCCCCTCTTAGGCTGGAGAAGGGAGTCTTACATTGATTCTATGCATAATCCAAGGCCACCTTTTAACATGGACCACTGTTACACTGCAGCAGGGTGACCTGGATGGTTGCTAGCACACTACTAAAGGGAGTTTTTATTTCTAAGTACATGAGTATGTTTATGGGGGGGTATAAATTGTTCTTCTTTCATAAGCTTACAGAGCAGTACTCCAAAAGGTCTTTGATCTAATGGTCCACAATGGCTAGCTTTACTCAAGACCACTACATGTTACAATGGCTGTGGCCAATTATGGAGTCTCTATCAGTCACTTTGATTGGCTTTTCTGCCGGATTCTTTGCTTAACCTTCCCTTCCTCATTAGCTCTGGGCCTCTAATAAAGCATCCTCTTTGATTAAGCATCCTTTTCCTTTTACCTAGTCACTGTTGTTTGCTGGCATGGCTCTTCAGATGGGAGATCTGCAAGTTAATATGTGTTAGCCAGCTCTGGGGAGACACCTCATTGTGGAAGGAGTGTTATGCCTGCTTCTATGCAAGGCAACTATTTATTTTCATTGTGACTCTGAGAGATCATCCATCATAATCATAGTGCATTTAAACTGGGATTTGTTCACTTCAATGGAACCATGTTCAAAGCTTTATTCGGAGCCTGGAAATCTGTTCCCTGAAGAGCTGGGATGGATAATGTCCTCAGCTTAAATATATGAATGCTGTGTAATGGAGAATGTTACACAAGGCTTAGGTCTCACAAGAGGAGCAGGGATAAATTCTCTTTACTAACTAGGACATAAAATATATTTAATTATTATCCTTTCTATGGGTTCTATCAATTTCTGTATATTTTAAAAAAGCAGATCTAGAAAAACTTCTAGTTGAGCTCTCAGATAGAATTCTTGTTTCATGGCTTCTATGACTACAAGAGAGAAATAAAAATGGAATGTAATTTACTCACTTTCATGAAAGACAAACACAGTGAAGTAACAAGCCATTACCTCAGGAGCACACATACCCGAAGCCTTGTATTTAACCTGCCTTGGCTAACTGCAATGTACCTTCCTAGCATTTCCACTTGCCTCTGTGTGGAGTGAGCTGCATGAAGACATGCTCCGTTAGAGAAACCTTAGTTACCAGCTTCTTTAAAATACAAACAAGTTCGGGAATCTAATGTGGAATTTTTATAGGAGGCAAACTCTCTCCAGTCTCCAAGTCCTCATAAAATTCAAGGGCTTGTTTTTGCACATCCCTAAGTATAACACTTAATGTTCTGTTGTAACTTCCCAGCACTCTGTTGTCTAATAGGCCCTGAATCTAACAGTTTTACAGTTTGGGGAGAAGAGTCAGCGTTAGAAAAATGTCAGGCTGGTCTAATGAGGCTTCAGATCCCCTGGTTTGTGCTGGAGTTTAATTTAAACTTACAATGATGTTTTAACATGTTTGCGTTTTCTTGACTAAAGAGGATTCATTATTTCAGTGACATAACCTCCAGACAATGCTCTGGGAATTGATTTAAGATGTGGCGGTAATTCCAACAGCCTTAATGCAGAACTGAACATCTGTAACAACATTTCATTCCACTTCTCATCAGCATTCTGTTTTTAAGCAAGAGCAAAGCAACATCTTCCAGAAACACTGGCCAGGGGCCTGGGTTTACTTCAAAATGATCACATATTTTACTGGATTTTTTAAAAAGAAATCCCTGCCTTTGTATTCCTCTCTAAGCTGCAAATATTAAGGTGGGGTCCACAATGTCTTTCCTAGGGGTCCTTGAAAGGGGCGATGACTATAATTTTCAGTTTGCCCAAGGAGCCTGATACCCACATGGGATGAATCCAGCAGTCCCCTCTAGCCAGGGGCATTTCCCTCCTCCCTGTTTTCCTCATGAGATTTAGGAGGGGATTGGGGGATGAAGCTCTGAGATTTAAAGGTGGGTTTGTTGGCTGGGGTTAAAAAAATAGCTCAAAGCAAATAAACTCAGAAAAGTAATAAAAGGCAACAACTCATAAACATGAGTCAAACAGCTATCTCCATTACGTTATTAATCACCACATCTGGAGTAACCCACATCTGCACACACTTAGCAGATCATTAGTAATGTCATATTCACACTGGAGTCACTCGGAATAAATGGCATGCATAGTGGCTTGAACACAAAGACATCAAGCTGAAGGGGCTTCCTACTGAAGTCAGGGCACAAGCTGCTAGTTGGAGAGTGGATCGGTCGTTGTTTTACTGATTATCCTTTTTTTAATGGCTTTTCTGTTTCAAATTTTGTGGCCCAAACAAGCTAAATGCATGCTGAAAGCTACAGTAGTCCTCTCTCTTCTTCAACGGAGCTTAGCATGTTACAGTGAAACTCTGAGGGGGTACCAGGCAATTATGCAACATTAGTACAAAGCCCAGCACTCCTTCACCTGGCTTGGGCACATGTCGAGAATTGGGAGTTGCATTCTTGTGCACAATTGGGTCTTTGTGATAGCGTGCTCTAGCTTCAGCCTTGGCTGCCGAACAATACGGAGAGAAGAAAATTGAAATTAATCCCTAGTGAAATTGTTCATTACAAAAGTTACCAACTGGTTTTAGTGCTAAGCGCAACCATCATTTTGTATTAGGATGGAGGCTTCTCCCTCATGGCTGAAGAGAAGGGTCTTTTCTTTCTCTTTCCCTCCATTGACTTCCTGAAATACTTTCTGGAGAGGTGACATCTGAAAATGCAGAAGACAATCTCCTTTGTATAGAAATCTCCAAACATATAGAGAATTCCCTTTCTCCACTACAACACACATAGACACACACATCAAAACCAGTTTCACAGCAGGATCAGGGCTATTAGCTCCTAAGACGTGCTGGAGAGAGTCCTGTTCAATACTCTTCACATTTCAAGTCTCTGTCTTTCATTGTTACACTACTGTTTTCTCACCCCAGACTGCTGGCCTAGTTGGCCATCTTGGTTTTGACATCACTGCTTAACTTGATCTAAATCTAAATTCCATGCATCAGACATTTCTGTAGTAGTGTAGTGTAGTGTTGGGAATTTGGGGTAGAGTTCAAAGGTAGAGTGCTTGCTTAGCATGTGTGATGTTCTGGGTTCTGCCTCCAATACCACCCACTC